GAACCGTGGTTGACTACATGGGAGTCCAGCTACATAGCCATTACGCCAACTGCTGGTCCCACACCTAGTATGATTTTTTAGGCTGCTGGGTCTGGAACTCCAACTGCAGTCAGCTATGTGGGAGTCCAGCACCTTAATCACCATGCCATCTGCTGGTCCCAGTCTGACATGTTTTTCAAGCTGTCAGGGCCAGGATTCAGACCTCAGTTGGCCATGTGGGATCTGGCTCCCGCTGCACAGTACTTACCTGCTGTGCTACAGGATTAGCCCTGAAGTCATATGTGTGCGATTGTGTAGTGTATCCTTGTGTTCAGGTAAGCTCATGCATGTTTTGTGTAATGAGTACATGTAGGTGTGTCCCTTAACCATATACATGTGCATTTTGAGGAGTGTATATATATCTGTTTGACCTTGATGTGTGGGTGAGAGCTCAGATTCATCTGTGTCTGCACATGCCTGTGTAGTTTGTGTATGGGTGTGCATGTGTGCTTGTGTGAGCCCTGTATTTTCCAATTTCCCTGGGCACTGAGAAGGCCAGAGCTGTCCCAGTACCACCTCTCTGGGTATCTATCTCCTTAGATCTGATCTTTCATCCCAGGAAGCCAAAGCCCACCTGCCCCTGTGGCTGGAACTAGGTTCCAGGTTGAGGAATTCCATCTAGGAGGTGGCTTTGGGTCATGACTCAGTCATGGCACAAGGGTAGGGTGGGGCAGGCAAGCCTTTGGAGACCTTTCTTGGGGTATTGGCTAAGGTAACAAGGGGGTTCTAAGGGCAACACAGGACTATACAGTCCCAGGTGGTCTCTCATCTGTCCTGAAGAGGGTGTTGACGTCTCTCAGAAGCCAAATTCAGGCCCAGCATGGTGTGCTGTTCTTGCGGCTGAGTTTTCCAGGCATAGAACAACACATCAGGGCTCACATGGCACCTTGGAATGCAGCCAGGGGAGGAGCCCCTGTGTCTCAGGAGCCCAAGGGCCCAGCACCCAATTCCAAGGCTAGCTTGCCTCCACCCTCTATCCTGTGTTTCCAGGAACCTCATCCTGTAGTTGTTGCTCTGCCTCCAACCCTTCTGCGCCCTGCCCCATCCCATTCACCTGAGAGTGGAGCAGGCACCTTCAGGCATAGAGCAGCCCTGGACTTTTAAGCAGGAAAATTCAAGCACACTTTCTGAGCTCTGTCACATACCTATATGACCCCAGAAAGTCATCGTATTCTAGGCGTCGGTCTCTGCCCACCCAACCTCACTACTGGTGCATCACTAACTGCAGCCAGCTCTTGGCAACCTGCCTTCCTGCCCCTGCCCGGCTTTCACTCCATCTTCCTGGCCCCAAAACTTCACCAGGTTGACTTTGTTCCTCTGACCCTCCAAACTGGGCTCCCATCACACCTCTCTATGCGCATTCCTTCTCTCTCCTTCCCTCCATGTAGCTTTGTTTTGTTTTGTTTTGATTCTGCATTATTTCTAAGACTGTGTCTATTAAATGCAAACAAAAAAGGAATAAGTCTTGGTTGGCAGAACAGAAGTGACGCACACTTGATGATCCGATTGATTTAAATATTATTCATGGCATATAGCCTAGTCCATGCTCTCACTGTTTCTATGGCGTGGGCTTCTTTGGTCTTCCACTGCTCTGCTACATCACTTGCTGATGGGTTATCTGGATCGGGAGCACTTGAAGATAAATTTTGACCATGAAACGTACTTCAAGGACTGCCATTGGGTATTTTCCTCACTGTTTCTATGGCGTGGGCTTCTTTGGTCTTCCACTGCTCTGCTACATCACTTGCTGATGGGTTATCTGGATCGGGAGCACTTAAAAAGCCTGGATTGATAGCAGAACTGTGTGGATCTGCAGTGTTTTCAAAATATCTAAACATATCTTTCCCAACTTATCTACCTTAGGAAGATAAATTTTGACCATGAAATGTACTTCAAGGACTGCCATTGGGTATTTTCCTGGAAGGAATAGTTCAAGTTTAAAAGACCCTCCTTTTTTTTTTCCCTTTGGAGAAGTCTTCGCTATAGGGCGTGTGCGCTTGCCAGACAGAGAGAGACATAGAGACAGAAAGCGAGAAATCACCCCCCAGGGGGAATGGTCACGCCGCAATCCCTTCTCCTCCATTCTCCTCTCGGGATCTTGGGCATGCACGCACACACGCCCAGTGTGAGTTTTAAGCCACCGGGTCCGGGACACGAACCGCGATTGACTATGTGGGAGTCCAGCGACATAGCCATTACGCTAACTGCTGGTTCCCCAAGACCCTCCTTCAAAAGGGGAGTGCTGGAGGCCAGCAATAACCACATGAAAATAACAGGTGTTGCTCTCATCTGGTTCTGCTTTAATGCCAGGAACTGGTTCTGTCAGGAAATGCTGGGTTTCCTTGATGATCCTGTGGGGCAGCCCGGCCATCCTGTCAGATCCTGAGTTGGACCTCTGGTGTCGTCTCTGGTTCCCCTCCTCCCCCCTTTTTTAAGAGAGATTTTTGCTATAGGGTGTGTGCTCTCACCAGAGAGACAGAGAGACAGGCAGAGACAGAAAATAAGAAATCACCCTCCGTGGGATGGCCATGCCACAATCCCTTCTCTTCCATTCTCCTCTTGAGATTTTGGGCATGCATGTATGCACACACATCTGGCGTGTTTCAAGTCACCAAGTCCAGGACTCAAACTGTGGTCAGCCATGTGGGATTCCAGCAATGTAACCATTATGCCATCTGCTGGTCCCTAGCTGCCTTCCTTAGTGAACTGTGACTGCATCAAAGGCAAAGGCTCTTCTTTTTATTTATTTTCAAAGAATTATTTAATTTTGGGACCAGCAGTTGGTATAATGGCTATGTCACTGGACTCTCATATAGTCGACTGTAGTTGGAGTCACGGACCGGGTGGCTTAAACTCACGCCGGGCGTGTGTGCGCTGGACCCGGTGGCTTAAACTCACGATGGGTGCGTGCGTGCCCAAGATCCCGAGAGGAGAATGGAGGAGAAGGGATTGTGGCGTGGCCATTCCCTCTGGGGGGTGATTTCTTGCTTTTTGTCTCTCTGTCATTCTGGCGAGTGCATGCGCCCTATAGCAAAAACCTCTCCAAAAAAAGAGAAAAAAATATTTAAATTTTTATTATTATTATTTTTAAATTTGACCAGAGAAAGGGAGAAAGTGAGGAAGCAAGCCTGGGACTTGAACTGCGATTGGCCATGTGGGAGTTCAGCACCTTAATCACCATGAAATCTGCCAGCCCCAGGGCCTACAACAGGCCTGGAACTTGGTAATTGCTCAGTGTTTCCTAAATGAAAGAATGAACAAGTACGTGGGAATGACACCTTGCAAGGTTGAGCACATCCCACTCTCACAGCTGTCATAGATATATGCAAACTACTCTCACAGCTCTTATGTCATAGGTATATGCAAACTACTTTCCTGAGAATAGAGAAGCAAGCATTTTTCTTCCCAGAACCCCTAAACTCTGGAGCACAGCCTGCCCGAAGGAATATCTGTAGAGAGCATGAGTTTGCTTCTCTACTGCCCTCAGCTGATGAAGCAGGGCAACTGACCTGGCTTCAGTGGGTTTTGCCTTGATCAGGGACTGGAGGGGAGAGGTTGCTGGCTGGCCAGTAGCAATGGCTTTCCTTTATCCTGATGAACTGTACTCTCTACTGTCCTACCAACGACCAGAGGACACAGTGCCTCCTTCTGCCCTCCCTACAAAGCCTCTCTTTCTATGGAAGGGTTAGTGCTGACCCCCAGCTTCCCAGCCCATGGCAAGATGGGGGCCTGCTCTGAGCGCTCTTCCAGTCGTTCACTCAGCACTTAAGAGTGGCAGGCCCCTCGTTAGGGGGTCCCTATGCATATTGTGAATCCCCGGCACCAGCCTGAGGCTTGGCAGACTGTGGTCATGGGACACAGTAGGAGTCTGACAGGCAAACAGGGGAGGGGCTTAGCATTTCCTCCAGGTCCTCTAAAATGAATGTGGCAACGTGAAAGGTGGTCCCACTGTGTCCTGCCTCCAGGCTGCCCATGTGTTGTGGCCAGACCAAGGAAAAGTCCAGGGGAATGGATCTGAGAACCAGTCTCAGAACAGCAGAGGGCAGGGAGCTTGAGGGTCTGCTCTTAGCTTCTCCCTGGGACTCACTAATAAACTAGGGATGGGAGGAGACAGCTGGACTGAATGACCCAAGGACCCTCACAGCTCTGCTACTTGGAGACCTGTGAGAGGGTCCCCGGCCTGGCCATCCCGAAGGACCACAGCTTCTGCAGTCTCCTACCAGTTCATACACGGAAGCCAGAGAAACAAGGGAGGTACCCAGGCCACACAAGAGTAGGTCCCCCTCCGCTGCTCCTGGGGACAGGCCTGAAAATGTCTTAGGAATTCACAACAGCCAGTGTTCACCAAGTGACACTACAGAAAAGGTAGCACACACTGAACCAGAAGTTGGAGTCAGAAGCCCCAAGCCGGGCCCTGTCAGACTTGCTCTGTGACCTGGCGCATTGCAGCTGCAGTCTGGGCTGCCAATTCCTTAGCTGTGAACCGCACTCTCCAATCCAGCTCAGGTGTCATCTCATTGTCATCCTCACACCCCCAGTGCAGGCACCCTCTGGCTCATGTCTCAGAGGCCACTTGAGCACATGCTCTGCCACCACCCCACCCTCACCAGGCTGGACAGGTTTAGGGTTCCGCATCTGACCCACCTCTGAACAGCTAGGACCTCGAGTCAACCCAAAGTGAGCACTCTGCTGCCAGGGCAAATGAAGGCCATCATCCACCACGTCCAGGAGGATATCTGGCAGCTGGCCTGCCTTCTGGACAGGAGTCCAGGCAAGGAGCCCCAGCTGAAGGCTGACCAGAAGTCCTGAGCTCTCTTTAGGGCTGGCCAGCCACACTCCTGTCCTCTGGTTCTCAGAGGGGCTGTTCCCACAAACCACATCTATGCTTACTTGCCAGCTGGTTCCTGGTTAACCTCACCAATGGGAAACTCTGATGGCGATCTGTTGACAGGCAGAGAAGCCAGGGCTCTTCTCCCTTCCCTCTGGCTTCAGACTGTTTCATCATCAGTGCCCAAGTTACTTCTCGCTCCAGATTCCAAGCCCTGGCATCGCCCCTGCTCCTTGGAGGCAGCAGTGGCTTCCCGCAGGTGCACATTCCAGGGTTGTCCAAGCTTCCAGTTTGCCCTCCCAGCACCTTTGCAACTCCCTTCTCATGTTGGATTCCCTCCCCTGGCCCACCCCAGGGAGGGCCACCGCACCACACACCCCCACTGCCCAATCTCGACGCTATCTTCCCAGCCAGACCACAAACCACACACACCAGGGCAGGTTGAAGGCTGTTTCTTTATACAAAGGTAATCACTGGTCAGTCAACATGCGGCTGCAGTCCCTGCTGGTCCACCTCACCACCCCTGAGGCAGAAGACTCAGTGGGAGTGGCTGTAGGGGAGACAGGCTGCACAGGCGTGGGGACTGCCAAGTACACCTGTGAGGTGTTCTGAAGGGCAGAGGCACAGACACACGGGCACTACAACCAAGAACACTGCACACAGCGAGGAAGGACTGGTGGGGCGGGAAGGACTGGCAGCAGCACTGACATCGGTAGCTCTCTTTTTCCATGTGTCCCTTGGGAGGAGCCCTAGATCCTGAGCTTGGAGCCCTGCTGTGCCACGGCAGAACCATGGGACTTTCCAGAATCACTGAATGCCTCACTTTCTGCATCTGTGAACTGGGGACAATAAATTGGACTTCACAAAGCTGTTAGAGCATAAATGAGACCAAAATAGAGACATTTATCAAAGTTCTCAACACAAAGCCTGGCATATAGAGGTGTTCAATAAATAACTTTTTGTCAGGAAAATCAGAGAAGACCTTCTTCAGAAGGCTGAGATGTGAGATAACATCTCAGGGAACTGGGACCCTTGAGGACTCCTTGTTGCCTGTAGACCCTGGAGTGCCCAGAGCTCCAGAATATACCATACCAGGGCTGCTGGCAGGGGTAGGAGGCTGGGCCCCCAAAGGGGCACCCACAGAAGCTGGGTAAACACTGGAGGAGCTGGGGTTTGAACCAAAATGATTCTGCACATAACACAGGCCAGATGCAGGCTGGTATGGAGGCAGGCTGGGCATGTGCCCTGGAGCAGAGGCTGGCCAGGAGGCTAGTTTCTGACCACTGGCATGCTGCATCTGGGTGGCAGGATGGCTTGGGGACAGGTGAGGGTGGCAGCTCTGAGTAGGGTAGGAGCCTGGCACAGGGTTCAGCCTGGAATGGAACAAGAGAGGAAAAGGTCATTTAGCTAATAATGCCAAGGTACACAGCAACTCTTCACTCCATGCAAGAAAAATGTGGGGGTTACCCTCCTGCTTGATAGCACAAGTTTTGGACACTTTCTGTGACTAGCTTTAAGTCTCAAGTGGCGAAAAAGGTTCATCTCAACTGCACAGAAACAGATGCCTGGAGAGACATGGCCTTGCAGCCCTCCAATAAGCAGGGACTGTGGGCCTGCTACTGAGACCACCTGTGCTGTAGCTTGCTCACGGCAGCTGATAAACCAGATGGAGACCAGCTCTCAGCAAACAGGCTTTTGTGGCTTGGGTCCAGGACCTGTACGAGTGAAATTTCCTACCTGTGACTTCAGGAGTAAAGACTCACAGCTCAAACCCCTGACTGACAGGAACTGACGCGACAGACATGGACTGCTGTCTGTGCTGAGATTAAAGATGCACAGACACATGTGGCTGGGACGCTGCATGGAGACACCCAGACTCGAACCATGGAATAAGGGTCTGTTCTCTGAACTTTTGTGTGAAGTGCCAAACATGGACAGAATGTCGATACCGCTGATATCTGTGGAGGGGATGGACTGAATCTGTGCACATTGCAGTGAAAACCTGACCTTAGGAACCAGCTGCTTGGGTTCAGGTACAGGACACTTTATGTAACAGCACTTCTCATGGCATTAAAAAAAAAAATGTCAACAAGAGCCTCCAGGGAGACAAAGCTATTCAGAAGGCCATCTCATGGCCAAAGTAAATTTGTGTGTTGTAATACTGCCCACGACCTGCCATCTGCCTGCCTGAAACTGCACGTTCTGTTCTGGATGTCTGCAGCAGGCCCGAGGAATGAGGGAACACATGCACATGAGTAATACGAGACAGAACAGAGAGGGCCCCCACCCACCCCATCTGTATCTGCCTGTCAAGGTGAAGCAGGATTAGACCTGGGCCAGGGCATTCAGCTTCAGAGAGGCCACTGCAATTGGCATGGAAGAACTTTCTCTGCGCAGGGGCTGCCTCGGAGCTCCAGTCACAGGGAGCATGTAAGTAATGGCCAGTGACCACCAAAACTACCATAGAGGGGACTCCCTTAAATGAAGAGAATTTGCACCCAAGAACTCCTGAAGCCCTCTCAAGATTCTATAAGAACAATTAGAACCACAAAACACCTTGATCTAAGTTTTATGGTCTCCTCCATATTTAGACCCAGGAATTATAATACTTGCCTGAGGTAGAAAGGATAAGTCTACATTTCAGTTGTGCCTCGTACTCCTCCCTGCCTTAAAAAAAAAGTCTCTGGGGCAGAAAAGGCTGGGAGCACAGCTTCCCAGTCCATAGAAACCCTGCACCCAGGCTGCATTGAGGGGGAACATTTACTCTACAGCTGGGTGAGGTCTGGAACAGCAGCCAACAAACCCTCCTGACCTCCCAGTGGGTCCCTTCTGAAGAACCGCTGAAGGAAAAAAAGCTCCATCTTGTAAAGTCTGTGCATGGACAAAACCAGTGAAAAATGCAGGAGGCAGCTAGGACAGCGGGAGGGAAGAGGACTTGCCTGCAGGAGTCTCTGGTTCTAGACTCTTCTCTTGACTCTATGTTACCTGGAAACAGGTAGTCCATGTGCGAGCAAGACTCTGGTCCTCTTTGGGCCACTTCTACAAAACCAAGCAGGGAGGCCACATGGGCCCTAGCGGCTTGCCTAGCACTTTTCACTGAAGTTAGCAAGCCTGGACTAGAAAAGAGTGAGAACCCCACCTCTCAGGTCCCAGGTTGTGTCATCTCCTACTCAATCTGGTTGGCTGTGTGGGCTTCTTATCAGTGCTCTGTACCCAGCCCTGTCCAACCTGCAGAGTGCCTGTCAGTGCTGTGGAGCTGTTACTAAGATCAGATAGGGGCACTTCAAACCACCTGTCCATAGGTCACTCAGGATTGTACTCCATGTCCTCCATGTCTCTCCTTTCCCATTCCTGTCAGCTTTCTACTTCCAGCGCAGTTGGGCAGACTCCAGAGTGCTGAGGTGTTTGTAGATTTTCAAATCTGCCTACACCCCTTTATTACTCATGGCACTCAACCAGTCACACCCTCTATAGGTCCCAAGGTTGCTTTAAGAATAAGATTTTAGGGACCAGCACATGGTGTAACGGTTACATAACAGGACTCCCACGCAGTCAACTCTGGTTTGAGTCTCAGACCTGGTGGCTTGAAACTTATGCTGGGAATGTGTGCATGCGTGCCTAAAATCTTGAGAGGAGAATAGAGAAGGGTTTGTGGCACAGCCTTTCTCTCTAGGGGGGTGATTTCTTGCTTTCTGTCTCTCTGGTGAGTGCACATGCCCTATAGCAAAAATCTCTCTAAAATGAATAAATAAGATTTTAGGGGCTGGTAGGTGGTGTGACAGTTAAAGTACTGGACTCCCACATGGCTGACCATGGTTTGAGTCCAGGATCTGATGGCTTACTTCATCATTCATTTTCCCTTTCTCTCTCTCTCTCTCTGGTCAAATTAGAAATAAATTAGGTAAATTAAATAAATAATTCTTATTAAAATAATTATTTATTGGGGCTGGCAGGTGGTGTGGTGGTTAAGGGCACTGGACTCCCACATGGCTGACTGTGGTTTGAGTCCTGGACCTAGCGGCTTGCTTTCTCATTCCCCCACCCCCTACCCACTCTGTCCCTCTCTGGTCAAATTAAAAATAAATAAATAAATAAAGTTAAATACAATAATTATTTTTAAAAATTATT